AAGATTTATGATGTATATATATGTGTGTTTATACAGCGTAATACATCAACAGAAAAGTATACCACACATTCCTTCAGGTCTCTGTAAAGTCTCTAACATCAATTCCAAAACCACATCTTCGACCACAACGTAAAGTATAACATAATGGAAATAAACGACCAATAGAAGAATATTAACTTCAAATCTCCCCCCAAAAAATTTAATCAATCCCATTTCCATAGATTTACTTCGAGTTATGTTTCAAACTTAACAAATTCCACAGATAATTTTAACCAACTAAGGAGACGATGACAGTTATACGTATAATTAGTTGAGTAAATAAGTTGTGTGTGTAGTATTGGTGAAATTAATTAGACGCCTTTTAGTTTAAGAGGAAATGTTCTGTTTTCTGTGTGGTAAGGATCCTACCAGGTGACGCTAGAACGCATATTGTGTTTACATGTTGGTCAGGTCCTCCCCCGCCTTGTGTTGTTGTGAGGGAGTTAAGGTGACCATACGTGTTCTATGTCTAGTTGAGTTACATTTATAATTTAAAATATGCCTTCAAGATATTCTATGTCTTACGTAAATGATAAAGATGACCTAGAGGTTTAGTGGGCTACATAGTCTCCTTCAAATAGCTAAAGAAAATCATGTCTTGCTGTAGTTCATCAGTTCCCTCCTTGTGAGAGCAGAGGGTGAATGACTGCCTCGTGTTGATGCCATTTGATATCATTAATATTACTTTTGACAGATTTATATTGTGGTTGTTGAGTGCTTGTTCAGTCGTCTCTCACTAAATGTTTACGTGATGTTAAACTTGTAGATAAATGATACAGCACATCAGCAAAAAATTCTATATATTCTACAGTTTCTTATAGATTTCCAAGGACAGACTATTGAATATTCAGTCATAAAAATGTTGGCTGTAATATAGTTAAAAAAAAAATTCGAAATATATCATAAAAATAATTAGGATATTGACCCTCACATGCAGCTCAATGTTGACCTCATAACTTGTCCAAAGGTTGAATAATTTCCAGGTAATTAATGAATAACATAACTTATGGTCTTGCAGCGTCAAACAAGTTAGGGTGGGGATGTTTTTAGTGTTACCCTCCAATAAAACATTGTACCCTAACATTGTACCCTAACATTGTACCCTAACATTGTACCCTAACATTGTACCCTAACATTGTACCCTAACATTGTACCCTAACATCCTTCCTCCTCCATGACGACACAGTGTAACATCCAGAGTGTTTTTATGTGACGTTTAATAACTTAGTGGAATAAATTGACTTATATTAAGGAGTAACAGGAACATCGTACAGGAACTACCAGGTATTTCTTCTTTATTTAGTTTGTTCTTATCGTCTGGCAGGTATAAATAGAATGATCAGAAGGAGAAATTATTGAAAGCAGAGTAAACAGCGAGACACGGGCTACCTGACATATTGCACAGGTGAGTTATCAGCTGACCTAGCGGTTCTGTTGACAGGTACCTCATCGGGTTATATACACGTATTGATACATATTGACTGCCTTACGACTACATATGTAATTACAGGTGTGTACATATATTTTGGAGATAAAGGTGTAATTGCTGAGTAATATCTGAGGAATCTAAACTTATAATTTTGTAATGGTGTTATTTCTATTCTTCAAACCAATCATTTTAGAGATTAGTGAAAGCGGAGATTATAATATGTTACAGTAGTTGGGATATAGTTTGAGTGTTTGTGATAAGTATCAGAGTAAATTAAAGCTGTTTTGAACATTGACGTCTTAATATCAACTCTCTCGTTATACAGGTGTTTTAATGGAGAAAAAAAAACACACACACACACACACACACACACACTCCAACAGAACAGCAAGAATAATTTAATATCCTGAAAGAAATTTTACCAACTGGTGTTTAAAAATCTCGCGTTTCTAATCCACTTCCAAGGAAACTTAAACGATAAATACTTGATATAAATTACAACATTTCCACCTTGAGTAAATGCCATCAAAAAATAAACACACCGTTAGCGGATTTATCCTTGTAAATTATCAATACCGTAAATATGACGTTCTAGATTAATACGTACTATATGTATTTTCAGGTGATAACTTTAAGGTAATTGATAAAAACATGTATTTGGTTGATATACAGAGCGTGTCAGTGTGTCGTATAAGTCAGTCTCACGTATCGTATTATTCCTCGTATGAAATATATTTGTTGATGTATGTTTTTTTAGTGTGTGTGTGTGTGTGTGTGTGTGTGTGTGTGTGTGTGTGTGTGTGTGTGTCTCCAGAAGTAGGTTATACTGTAGTGCTGAAAGAGATTGGAGTTAATATCTATCAATAAAAGATTAATTTATGAGAGGTAAAAATATTTATAATGATAGTAATAATACTCAGGTATGATAATAACAGTGGCAGGTGTATTAACTTTATTAACAACCATTAGTCATAACAAGCGTGAATATAATAACATCAATTATAACAATAATGAGATTTTTTAATACACCTTTACAGTATTTTGTTTACTGGTTCACACTTCGATTATCAACAGGTATGACAAGTTTGTTTACCTTTGTGTTTACCTGAGGTGACGTGACCACCAAACAGGACATTGTTTGCACCATAGGAAATACTGTTGTTTGTACTACAGGAAGTGACATTGTTTACACCATAGGAAATACTGTTGTTTGCACTACGGGAAGTGGTCTGTGTCTGCCGCTGAGAAGTAAATAAAGAATTTCAACCTCTATAATTTTTTTCAACAGATATGATGCTGCTTCTGCCTCATTTGTAACATTATTTAATTCCCTCAACCTAACCTAACCTACCCCACACCTAACCTCCCCTACACCTAACCTACCCCACACCTAACCTGCCCCACACCAACCTGCCCCACACCAACGCCCCACACCACCTCACCCAACCTGCCTAACCTCCCTACACCCAACCTCCCCACACCCAACCTCCCTCTCCCTACACCTAACCTCCCCTACACCTAACCTCCCCACACCTAACCTCCCCACACCTAACCTCCCCACACCTAACCTACACCTAACCTCCTCCCCACACCTAACCTACACCTAACCTCCCTACACCTAACCTCCCTACACCTAACCTTCCCTAATAACTCCTTAGATATTGTGTGTGTGTGTGTGTGTGTGTGTGTGTGTGTGTGTGTGTGTGTGTGTGTGTGTGTGTGTGTGTGGGTGTAGTAAGGTGTGTTACATGCGTAGGTTATGGTGTGTGCGTGTGTGTTGCGTGACCGTAAACACTAATACGCTGTGTGTGTGTGTGTGTGTGTGTGTGTGTGTGTCTGGCTGTGTCTGTATATGTTTGTGTGTCTGTCTGTCTCTTTGTGTATATATGTGTGTGTTTGTGTATGGATATTTTTGCATGTGTGTGTCTGTGTGTGTCTGGATGTTGGTGCGTGAGTGTATGTCTCTATATGTGTATTCGTGTATGTATGTGTGTATTCGTGTATGTATGTGTGTATTCGTGTATGTATGTGTGTATCTGTGTCATATATGTAAGTTATACATAGATAGATATAGTTATTTATCACTATAGTCTATACACGTTATTAAGACATACAGATCATACACAGGTATACACTCATTGATCTTCTCCAGTATATCAACTATGTCATACAAGTCTTCTTTAGTTTTTCTGTAATATTCAAACTAAAATTGTATTAATATTATTTTAAGAGTATGTATATAATGGTGTTGATTTACGTATACATATACATATAGTCTATAGTTCATATACATAACATAACCTACATAATTTTTATACATAATCTACATATATATACAGAATACATACATACATACACACATACTATTATGGGACTGAATTCAATGTCATACATATGAATTAATCTGTATACAGGCTATATACTCTACTGCATACATATACATAGTTCTTACAGTCAAAGATATATACGTATGGTGTATGTATTACCCTCTCCTCCCCCCACTCTCCCTCACCACTCCCCCTCTCTCCCTTCCTCCTTCCCTCCCTCCTTCCCTCTCTCCTTCCCTCCCTCCCTCTCTCCCTCCCTCCTCCTTCCCTCTCTCCCTCCCTCCCTCCCTCCTCTCGTCTCTGGACATCAACAAAACAGACGCCCCAAACCCCAATGATTTACCGACCAACAGTACTTCTCACATTAACTGATCTAATCCACCCAATGATTTCTCCCCGCCCACCCGCCCACCCTCCCCTCAGCGCCCACCCTCAGTACCCACCCTCCCACCACCTCTTATCCCCACAAATCCTCCCACATTGCCCCCACAAGAAGATCTAATGCCCCTGAGTGAGGTTGTTTCTGTCACCTGCCGGACTTAATCCTGTTTCCCCTGGCATGTGCTGTCACCCGGGCTCTCAGCTGATCTGATGGGAGCGGATTAGAGCAATTCTTTATCATTTTCTCACTCTCCTCTTCACTCTTTGGGGGTGTATTTGAATGTGTTCCCTGTATTGTTGAAATATTATCGTTGGTTGTTATTATTTGGTAGAGTTAATGAGGGTGTAGGGCAGAGAGATAGAGTGATGGGGGTGTTTAACTAAGAGTATTTCATTATTCCAGGTGAACTTCCCTCAGCCGCCGCTAGATGGCAGTGTCGTCCAAGGCCTCACGCCGCGCCACTCTCACCCACCACCGGCTAATGCCACACACGGCTTGAAGGTTCCTCTTTATTGATTTATTCTCAGTTTATAACAGCACTTACATACTAACTGAGCATTACAAGTGTTAATATAAGTTATTATAGATCTTTTGGGACTGTCAAATTAGGATGGTATAGTGAAGTGTAATGAAGAGCATCATTATTATCGGAAAATCCTCGACGTTTCATCTGATCTCATGGAGCAGGGAAGGGGCGGGACTATGATATGTAACGAGCGAGATGATTGGCTATTACGACAAGTGACATCATCTGAATTTCAATATCTCTTTTCAATGTGATTTTTCTCTGACATGCCATTTTTACATTAGGGTATTGGCGCGGCATGAGCAGATTGTTAGAAAGCGGCCTGATACACGCGAGCAAGCATTCATGTGCAGTCTGTCAGAAAGTAGGCTGTCGACACACCCTTGGGCGACCACTTAGGCTTGGGAGTCGCGTGCTCCAGCCCCGCCGTCTCCTGCCCCACTGGACGCTCCCTTCCTCCACCCCGCTGACCATCTTCATCATCTCCCAGTGACCGCTCAGGATTATTGTGCGCCACTCACGTTGAAGGATATATTTGAAGTCAAGAGCGAGTAAGTCACAAGGACAGAAGAGGAAATAAGGAGGTCGTGAAGGCGTGAATCCTGACCCGCGACTGACCCGGGTTTGAGAAGTAACGACTGACCGCCAGTTTTGTGACTCTTGACCACCCACGTGTCTTGTGCTTCGCTACTGTCAGCAACCTTAAAGAAAACGGAGTGTTTCAGTGACCGCGGCGAGCGAAAAACTGAACGTTCTCCATCATCCCGGTGTGAGTGAAACTATGGTGTTCTAACTCTCGGTAAACAAGACCTCAATAGGTTGTGTTCTGGATTCAACACCGAGAACTCGCCATCTTCATCGATCTTAACCTCCTCGACCTGTGAAACCTAAGCCCTCAGAGACACTCCACGTCACCGACACCCGTCTCCACACACGACCGCAATGTTCAACCTCTCTGAGCTCGGCTCCTTAGAGACGCCCTCAGCGGCGTCTCCGGCGACGTCCCTCACGCCCACGTCGGCCTCCAGCACCCCCACAACTACCTCCAAGACGGAAGACCACGTGAAGCGGCCCATGAACGCCTTTATGGTGTGGTCGAGGATCCAGAGGAGGAAGATAGCTCTGGAGAACCCCAAGATGCACAACTCGGAGATCTCCAAGCGTCTGGGAGCTGAGTGGAAGTTGCTGTCAGATTCCGAGAAGAGGCCCTTCATTGACGAGGCCAAGAGACTCAGGTAAGAGCCCTTCACTCTTCTTATTTATATCTGAAGCTGGTGATCACGCAGCCAAGGTTGACTTATCGAGGTATGGGTAAACATTGTGAATCTACATAATGTTAATTATTTTTATCAGCATTCTCCCAGGGAAGTTTTCTCGGGGCAATTTACTTTGATAAATTTGTGTACAATATGAAATAAAGTAAAATTATTTATTATGTTATAATCTGTTAAGTTTAAGTTTCCTCAAACGGCGCTCGTTGGGTGCGTCAACACAAGCTGTTATTTAAGCGATCTCAGAAGTAAAGTGTAAATCAATAAGACCCGCTGCTGAAGATATCAGTTCCAAGTGTTATCCTGAGGTGTGGCATCATAGGTGCAGCCACCGGGGGAAATACTTGTACTCCTCAACACATTATATCCCCCCCTTCCTTTACGTCTCTCAAAGGTTCACTGAGTAACTTAGATAGAATCCATTCAGACGTGAAATCTAATAAAGTTCATTTTCCGTTTCATCTTTTTCAATTTCTAGTCCAATTATAATTCGGAGACGTTTTCCAGGATAGAGATGTTATCGGGTGAGGCCAAGTATGGTGGATTTACGGGTTCATTAGTCTGGTCATATACTTTGAAGAATGTCAGCTGTGTTGGCGCCGCTAAGCTGGTGAATTAAATTGATAATTTGAGACGTATTAGGATTTCTTGAGTCTCTCTCAGGTAATAATTAACTTTGGCCGTACAGGTAAATTCCCCGTAGGTGTTGTGTGATATTTGATCCCCGTAGTAAGCCGTAGTTAATCCTTGACTGAGAGGCCGACTACCTAATCCTTGACTGAGGGAGTGAATACCTAATCCTTGACTGAGGGACCGAATACTTAATCCCTTACTGAGGGATCGCCTACCTAATCCTTGACTGAGGGACCAAATACCTAATCCTTGACTGAGGGACCGAATACCTAATCCTTGACTGAGGGACCGAATACTTAATCCCTTACTGAGGGATCGCCTACCTAATCCTTGACTGAGGGACCGAATACCTAATCCTTGACTGAGGGACCGAATACCTAATCCTTGAATGATGGTACCGACATCATTACATTCCCTTCACAAAACAAAAGAATATCGCTGGTTAGTATAAGACCCAGTGAGTACTTCATTTGTTTTTCCCAAAAGCCATTTCGCTTATTGTTCTTCCTTTGTTCTCTAGATAATTATGATGAGTACGAACAATATTAAGAGAAGGAGAGAGAGTTTCATGTACTATTTCGAACTGGATTATAACTAGCAGGCTATTAGTGGCTAGCTGTAGGGTCTAGTTAATTGATCAGCCAAATAAGAGTGAAGTTAGCTGTCATCCGCTCGAGGCGACATTGGGAAGAAAACAAAATTACATTGATACTGTAGAACGGTGTGTGTGTATGTGTGTGTGTGTGTGTGTGTGCATTCGAGTGGACACGCTGTTGAGGATTTCTGGCTGAGTGACCCGGGTTTGATCCAAGATAAATTGCTCACAGTTTATTACCGGGTGGTGTTAACCTGCGTGTTGCTGTGGTGTTGTGTCAGTCACGGCGACGACGACTTGTGCTGCTGTGTCAGTCACGGCGACGACGACTTGTGGTGCTGTGTCAGTCACGGCGACGACATGTGGTGCTGTGTCAGTCACAGCGACAACGACTTGTGGTGCTGTGTCAGTCACGGCGACGACGACTTGTGGTGCTGTGTCAGTCACGGCGACGACGACTTGTGGTGCTGTGTCAGTCTGTGTCACGGCGACGATGACTTCTGTGTCAGTCACGGCGACGACGACTTGTGGTGCTGTGTCAGTCACGGCGACGACGACTTGTGGTGCTGTGTCAGTCACGGCGACGACGACGTGTGAGGCTGTGTCAGTCACGGCGACGACGACTTGTGGTGCTGTGTCAGTTACGGCGACGAGTTGTGTGTCGTCACGGCGACGACGACTTGGTGCTGTGTCAGTCACGGCGACGACGATTAGAGGCTGTGCCAGTCACGGCGACGACGACTTGTGTGCTGTTTCAGTCACGGCGACGACGACGGCACGGCGACGACGACTTGTGAGGCTGTGTCAGTCACGGCGACGACGACTTGTGGTGCGGCGACGACGTGTGGCAGTCACGGCGACGACGACTTGTGGTGCTGTCAGTCACGTCACGGCTGTTGTGCTGGTCACGGCGACGACGACTTGTGGTGCTGTGGTCAGTTACGGCGACGACGACTTGTGGTGCTGTGTCAGTCACGGCGACGACTTGTGGTGAGTCGGCGACGACTTGTGCTGGTCAGGGCGACGACGACTGGTGCTGTGTCAGTCACGGCGACGACGACTTGTGGTGCTGTCAGTCACGGCGACGACTTCAGTGAGAGTCAGTCACGGCGACGACTTCAGAGGTTGAGTCAGTCACGGCGACGACGAGATCGTGGTGGCGACGACGACTTGTGGTGCAGTCACGGCGACGACTTGTGAGGCTGAGTCAGTCACGGCGACGACGACTTGTGGTGCTGTGTCAGACGACGGCGACGGCTTATGAGGACTGTGAGTCAGTCACGGCGACGACTTGTGGTGCTGTGTGCTGAGTCAGTCACGGCGACAACTTATGGTGTTGAGTCAGTCACGGCGACGACTTGTGTTATCTATTAGATCCAACCCAAGGGATTAAATTCCTCGTTCTCAAAGGGTTACATTATCGTTCTCAAAGGGTTTATTATCGTTCTCAAAGGGTTACATTATCGTTCTCAAAGGGGTTACATTCCCGTTCTCAAAAGGGTTACATTATCATTCTCAAAGGGTTACATTATCGTTCTCAAAGGGGTTACATTATCGTTCTCAAAAGGTTAATATTATCGTTCTCAAGGGGTTACATTATCGTTCTCAAAGGGTTACATTATCGTTCTCAAAAGGTTAATATTATCGTTCTCAAGGGGTTTACATTATCGTTCTCAAAAGGGTTACATTATCGTTCTCAAAGGGTTACATTATCGTTCTCAAAGGGGTTATACTATCGTTCTCAAAGGGTTACATTATCGTTCTCAAAGGGTTACATTATCGTTCTCAAGAGGTTACATTACCGTTCTCAAAAAACTCATTACGACCACCATCTTTACTACCAACCATCATCACAATCATCTACTGTAGTTAACCACCAACACTACCACCATCATCACAACTACAACTACCATCACCACTAAAAGTCACCCCCTGCCACACCCATCACCACTACAACAACTTCCATCACCACCACAGTCACCACCATCACCACTACCACCACTACCATAACTACCATCACATCACCACTACCGTCACAACTACCACCATCATCACCACAATTACCACCACAGTCACCACCACTAACATCTAGTATATGCTAACACTGCGGCATTGTTCGCTAGCACTGTTTGCTGACCTTCTGTTCCCTGGTACGTGATTCTCTAAAACTATGATCTAATGCTGTTCCCTGATGCTGTTCCCTGATGCTGTTCCCTAATGCTGTTCCCTAATGCTGTTTCCTAATGCCATTCGGTAATACTGTTCGCTGACAATGTTCTCTGGCAAAATTCACCGTAGCATTATATAAGAACATAAGAATGAAGGAAACTGCAGCGGGCCTATTGCCTCCATACTGGGCATGTCCCATTTACACCCAGCCCCTATCGCTCATATATCCATCCAACCTATGTTTGAAGCTATCCAGCGTATTCGAGTTAATGATGATGTTTGGTAACTTGTTCCATTCATCCTCTACTCTATTTCCAAACCAATGTTTACCTATTTCGCGCCTAAATCTAAATTTGTCTAATTTAAAACCATTGCTACGAGCTCGCTCCTGGTTGGATAGTTTGAGTACCTTTGTTATATCACCTTTGTTTAGGCCTGACTTCCATTTATACACCTCTATCATATCGCCCCTCACTCTACGTCTCTCGAGGGAGTGCAAATTAAGATGATTTAACCTGTCTCTGTACTCAAGGTTCCTAATGCCCGATATTAGTCTTGTCATTCTCCTCTGAATTCTTTCTAGGAATTCTATATCCATTTTGTAGTACGGTGTCCAGAACTGAACTGCGTAATCCAAGTGACGTCTCACAAGCGTAAGATATATTCTCTGTTATTGTTTGCTGTGCTCATAGATACTCACAGTCAATGTAATGTGTACAGGCGAATCACTCAGCCTCATTCAACGCTGTACCTGACACCCCCACCCCACCCCCACCCCTCCCGCCCTTATACGCGATACCAGTCATTAGCCACCTGCCATACCTGTTAATGACGTCACCAGCCTCATTAAACAGCCTCGTTTGACTTCGTTACCAGTAATTAGTCATGCAGAGATCATCTTTTCACAACTCCTCCTCCTCCTCCTCCTCCTCCTCCTCCTCCTCCTCCCCTTTCTCCTTCTCCTCCGTTTCCCCCTCCTCTTCTTCCTCCTCATCCTCCTTCTCCTCCTCTCGAATCAAGGGGCTCAATTATCTACTCGTGGAACTCAATAGTCTACTCACTGAGCTCAGCTGTCGATTTGTGGCACTGTACATTTAATCCTAGGTCACCCTTTTTGGCACTCCCTGGCGCTCACTATTACAACCTTGGTGCCATGTGATTTTTCCACCCGAACTACAGAGGCACCCTGTATGACGCCATGGCCCTTAGCTGATAGGCCCTTTGACAACACAGGTCCTCCAGGCTACCTCCCCCTTTGACAACACAGGTCTTCCAGTCTACCTCCCCCTTTGACAACACAGGTCTTCCAGTCTACCTCCCCCTTTGACAACACAGGTCCTCCTGCCTACCTTCCCCTTTGACATCACAGGTCCACCAACCTACCTCCCCCTTGACAACACAGGTCCACCAGCCTACCTCCCCTAGACACCCTTTGGTCGATCTCTTATTAACACAGTAAAATATACACAATACACTCACCTCATGCAGACCAGGAGCCTCAATGTAAAGCCGCACGTACACACACACACACACACACACACACACACACACACACACACGCACACAC